AACTCTGATGAAGCAAAGGGGAGAAAGGGGTGAAAAGGGTACATGGGGGCAGGAAAGATGGATGTATGACTGCACGTATGGTGTGATGCTACATCGTGTACAGAGAAATGAAAACTTTCAGCAATAGTGTACAATTATCAAAGTGTATTCTGCTGTCATATACACGTAATTGGAATAAATGAAGTAATTAATTGAGAAAGAAAAAAATGATCACCTTTATATTAAAATTAATATTACATATTCTATTAAAAATTCTACTTTCTACTCAAGAAGCTATCACATAATAAAATATTTGAAAATTTAACAAAACAAATAAAAAACAAACCTGTTTGCCTTGCCTCTTGTCTCTGTGGGTCTGCTCTGATGAGTCACCTTTAACACCCGACTTCCCTTGTGAGGTCTCTGAACCTCCCCTGTATCTGTGATGGTAAGGTTATTACCAAAAGTTGGGCCCTTGTCCCTGATGCCATTCCTCATACAAGGTCAAAGCTTTAAGAAGAAAAAGACATTTCATTGCTTTTCCATCAAAGGAGAAGTGCAGGGCACTCCTGTCCTAGAGACTGATTCTGACCATCAGAATAGAGGAATAGAGGGTTTTTAAAGAGATGAGTGAAGGGCTACTATGCCCAGTCAGGGGTCATAACTCATTTGTAGCCTTGAGAGACACCTATTCCTGAGGTCTCCTGGAGCTATCCCCAAGGTCAGAATTGCTTTTTCCCTGTGTTGTGTGTGTGCGCTCAAGGACAGAAAACTCAGGCTAGGATGGGAAGAGGGATAATCTTGTTTCTCTCAAGGTTAGAGGGGGTGAAGGAAAAGAGAAAGGGAAAAAAAAAAAACACCCAAACTCATGTCAGCTTTAAAATAAGCTGCAGTGGCGGGCAGCAGGGACATGTTCAAAGCATGAAGTGAAGCCCCTTACAAGGTAGGTGTGGAGTGGTGGGGGTGGGCAAAATGTTTCAGAGACAACAGTGAAACCTTGAACTCATTTGCATAAGGAGAATCCTCCTGTTCAATCTCTGGAGTCACTGGGATCATAGGCGTGCACCACCATACTTAGCATCTTTTCTGTCTTATTTCTTTAGTTTTTGCTGAATTACTTTTAGATATTTGCATGATTTAAATGCTTGTGTGTGTGTACATACAGACACACACAAAAATATATATGTCTATTTAAATAAGTACACTCAGCTCTCTCTTTAATAAGACAGAAAAGACGCTAAGTATGGTGGTGCACGCCTATGATTCCAGTGACTCCAGAGGTTGAACAGGAGGATCACAAGATCTAGGTCAACTTTATCAATTTAGTGAGACCCTGTCTCAACATGAAGAGGACGGAGGATATAGTTCAGTGATAGCGTGTCCCTGGGTTCAATCTCCATGACTGTGAAAGGAAGGAAGAGCAGGAAAAGAAAAAGAAAGAGGTGAGTTGTGACTAAATATTTAAGAGCATTAAATTTCAGAGGATATCAGGTGTGTTCAGGGTATTTCCTGCAGACAAGAGTATTGAATGTCCATCTAAGGGACTTAGACTTCATCCTGGGGAGAGTCATAAGGCTCAGTTGAGAACTTAGAGCTTATCTCTTCAGAGGCTTTCCAGAGTTGCAAAAGGCTAGAAAGTGGGTCATGGTCCCACTCTGTCTTGGTGTTTCTCCCTGGACTCCCCTATCCTGAGATGCCTAGGACAGCTGTATGTTGTGTTCCCCTGAAGTCCACATGTTGAGGCCTTCACCTCTGATTAGGTGGTATTAGGAAGTGGAGGCTTGGAGAGGTAATTAGGTTTAGGTGAGATCCAGAGGGTAGAGCCACTGGAAGGGGATTCCTGGGTTTATAGGCAGAGAGGAGACTAGAGCTGGCCTTCTTGGCCATGAGAGGACACAATGACAGGAGGCTGAGGGTGCATAACAAGCCAGGAAGCCAGCCCTCTGCAGACATCAGGCATGCTGGTGTCTTGGCTGTTACTTCCCAGCTCCCAGAACTGCAAGAAACAGTGTGTGCCCTGCACCGACTCTGGAATTGTCACCGCATGTGGAGCTGACACACTGCTGTCTTCTCCTGTCCCTGAGGCTGCATTTGCCGCGTTCAGTCCTGCTCCATATACTCCAATGAACCTATGCTCAAAGCTTAGGGAGTCTTTCAATAGATCTGCCTGGGAATCCTGTGTAGAAGTTTGTACTGCAGATCTTCTCTGCATGATCCATGGGAAGATAAAGATTTGGGGGAGAGCAGGAGAGGAAGCAAGGCAGAGTGTGGGGCGTGCGTTCTCAAGCAGGGCACAAGAGGACATCACACCTCTAGGTTCAAGACCTTTGGGACCACAGGGTAATAATACATCTATTTTCTACAAACCTCCACATTTGTAATTTTCTTTTATCTGTAGCTAAAACTGAGCCATGACTTGAGTGGTATTATGGTTTGGAGGTGAGGTGTCCCCCAAAATCATGTGAGAAAGTACGAGAGGGTTCAGAGCAGAAATGATTGTGTTGTGAGAGCCTTAACACAATCAGTGAATTAATCCCCTGATGGGATTAACTGAGTGGTAACTAACTGGAGGTAGGTGGGGTGTGGCTGGAGGAGGTAGGGCATTGGGGGAACAGCTTTGGGCTCTGAATTTGTATATGGCAAGTGGAGATTTCTTTCCCTGAATTTTGATCTTCATGTGAGCTGCTTCCTTCCACCATACTCTTCTGCCATGATATTTTACCTTACCTCCAGCCCCTATGAATGGAACCTACTGTCTATAGACTGAAACCTCTGAAACCGTGAACACCTAAACAATCTTCTCTTCATCTACAGTTGTGTTGGATGGGGCTTTTTGTCATAGCAGTGAAAAGGCTAACTAAAACAAGGGGACTGGTGGTGGGATGGGGGTGCTGGGAGCCATTAGCCAAGTAGGTATGACAATTTCCTTGCCAGTGTACCCCATGTTGCTGACATGTTGCAGTGACATTGAATGTAAGTGACCTTGCTCAAGGACCAAGGCAGATTAGGGTGTTCCCGGTTTTAAGATAATCTTGTTTAGGGCGTTCCTAGTTTAGGTTCCAGGTTTAAGGTTTAAGATTATTCCTGCTGGGAATAGGGCGTATCCTGCTGCCTGAGTTCCCCTTGAGTTCTCACGGGATTCAGACAGTATATTTTGGAGATAGAAGCCCAGTGGAGGTGGATTTGGGCAGAGAACGTGGATTTGGGCAGAGAACGTGGATTTCCCCAGAACGTGATTGTAGACGGCTGGTGTGAGTTCGGGAATAAAGAGTTGCTGTTTGAATCTACAAGCTGTGTGGTGGCTCGTGATTGTGTGCCCAGCCAGACTGCGGCATTTGGTGGCTGCAATTTTTCCCAAGGAGCCGTCAATTGGCTTGGTGTCGTGGCATTTCTGTATCCTCCTCCCTTCTGCTAGTGATGGTCTAAAATTTGGGGGCCAATGGCTTATGCTAGACCGGTAGTCAGTGACGGGTATGATCCAATTGCAGTGGTATCAACCTAAGACAGGAGGCTGACGCCTAAAGGTCAGTTTTCCGAAGACGGGTAAGAACCATATGTTGAATTGGACAACCTACCAGGCATGGTCCATAAGCCACATTAACCTCACTCTCCCACTGGCACCAAGGCCAAATTTGGGGGCCAACAGAGGTGAGGCAAAGAACCTCACCCCCCCACTGGTGCATAGACCCATCCACAAGTATGGCTGTATGCTGGACCGGTAGTCAGTGACGGGTATGATTCAATTGCAGTGGTATCAACCTAAGACAGGAGGCTGACGCCTAAAGGTCAGTTTTTCCCATGACGGGTAAGAACCATATGTTGAATTGGACAACCTACCAGGCACGGTCCTTAAGCCACATTGCTTGTTGTTTAATTAATCAGAAGGGGGGAGATGCTGGGAGCCATTAGCCAAGTAGGTATGACAATTTCCTTGCCAGCGTACCCCATGTTGCTGACATGTTGCAGTGACATTGAATGTAAGTGACCTTGCTCAAGGACCAAGGCAGATTAGGGTGTTCCCGGTTTTAAGATAATCTTGTTTAGGGCGTTCCTAGTTTAGGTTCCAGGTTTAAGGTTTAAGATTATTCCTGCTGGGAATAGGGCGTATCCTGCTGCCTGAGTTCCCCTTGAGTTCTCACGGGATTCAGACAGTATATTTTGGAGATAGAAGCCCAGTGGAGGTGGATTTGGCAGAGAACGTGGATTTGGGCAGAGAACGTGGATTTCCCCAGAACATGATTGTAGACGGCTGGTGTGAGTTCGGGAATAAAGAGTTGCTGTTTGAATCTACAAGCTGTGTGGTGGCTCGTGATTGTGTGCCCAGCCAGACTGCGGCATTTGTGCCCAGCCAGACTGCGGCACGGGGGCTCAGATTGTTTCCCGAGGCCATGCCTGTCTGGCATTAATCTTCCTGTTGGAAAACAAGATCTCAGAGAACTGGAACATATATATGCATATATATTCTTGGAAAACACAGAATCTACAAATTTAAAAAATTCAACAGCTAGAGTTTTCCCTTATCATCATAGATTTTCAGAAAATTGAAGAAAAGCAAAAAGAGAACACCTGTCACAGAAGTTGCAAAGCTCTTGGGATAATGACTGTGCCCTTTGTTGTAGCTATACAGTGAACTGTCTCAATGAATTTGGACAATTTATTTTAAGTCTTTGCTTTAGTGTCTGTTGTTATGAACACATAATCTACCCCAAAAGAGGTAGAAACAAATGTTTACTTTAGTCAGATCTTATAAAAAAACATTTTTTTCTGAAATATTCAAAGTACTTTGTCCTTACTTGCAAAAAAAATCTGGTGACTTTATCATTACATGCACAATGTCACACACAGATCTGCCATAGAGAAGGTGACAGTACATTCATTAGGTTGAATGAGTGACTAAATAACCTTTCAAATCCTCTCTATCACAGAAAGCTCACCTGTTTATTAATATACATAACTAGTAGCAAGACTCAATGGAATGTTTATAAATACCAACCAAGGGGCATACTTGGACAGACAAGGTATAGAATCAAATGCTTTTATTGAGATGTTTATTTTTTGCACAGAAGGGTTAGCAATGGGATCAGTATATTGATCAGAAAGAGACACGAAGATATCTTCTGTGGCTAATATAGAGGGAAAGTAAGTTGATACCAAGGAGTGGATAATGAAGAGAGAAAGGTGTTTAGTTGGCAGCAATGGTCTGTTGAATCCAGTCCAGGTAGTTGCAGACCTTGGTGTAGACACCGGGTTTGCCTTTCAGAGCACAGCCCAAGCCCCCGGAGACAACACCCTGAAGCTCACCATTGCAGACCACGGGGCCACCAGAGTCACCCTGGGCAAGAGGGAAAAGACAGTCAGAGCTCTTGTTCATGCCCAGAGGCAACAATGGGCTCCAAAACATTTCTCCATGATCCAGGTGGTATATTTTTATCCAGTCTCTGATCCCATATGATATACCTTTCTCCTCCTGAAAATGCAACCCTCAATCTCCCCTTATATCCCTATTGTTCTTCCTCCTTCTAATCAGGTGCCCCTCTTCTTTCCTTAGTAGCACCATAGGGCCAAGAAATTTTGAGAACTGTACAGATCTAATGTCGTGCTACTTGTCCTGTCCCTCTTACAAGGGTTCCATTCTACCATATGCCTCCTCAGAAGGGCACTTTGATGACCTGTTTGCACACGAGGTTTTAGGTTTCTTTTTTACCCTGCTTTACTCTACTCCTCATTACCACAGAGAGAAAACTTGTAATTTATCTCAAAGCTGCTGCTCCCCTCTCACAATCAGTCGCATGGACTCCACAGTCCTGTGCACTTCAGAGAAGGAGAAACATGGTGGAGAAGAGAGACTGATCTGGATGAAGCAGGAGTAGGAGAAATTCACCTGGCAGGAGTCCTTTCCCCCCTCCAGGAAGCCCAGGCAGAACATGTTGCTAGTGATCTTGCCTGGGTAGGCCTTGTGGCAAGCAGTGTCAGAGGGCACAGGAGCATCCAGACACTGCAGGAGGGAAGGATACACTTCTGTGGAATGCAAGAGTGAAAATGGAAGATTAACCCCAGGATTCCCAGGTTCATGTCCATTCTGTCTCCTCTCTTTCATAATATCCCCACTCTTTTCTTTCCACTTTCCAATGCTTGTAATTTCAGGGAAATTTAATTTCTAGAAGATATTCTGAAAAGTTCTAATCAGGTGTTTCTCTGACAGGAGCATCAGCAGCCAAAGTTCTCAAAGACAGAGACTGCTTTCTCAAGCAGCTGTATAACTCAGGCTGTAGGGACCCCTTAGCCTCTGTGTTCTAGTTCCCTCCTCAGTATCTTGTTATTTTCACATCTCTAATAAGCTTTCAGATAGATACCTTGATATTTTTTAGAAGGTAATTTTTCTTGGTCTTCTCCAGGATCTCAGGAAAGAAGTCTTATACATTTTAATTAATATATTCTAACATTGCCTCTAGTCAAAACTATCCTCTGTCAACTTTGCCTTGAGTGAAAATTTATAACTGACCCTCAAGGTGTCTTTCACCTCCATGTTCTTAAACCTGGTGCTTGTGTTCCAGGTGACACTTACTGCCACTGCTCACAGTGTTGCCCCAGCCAGACACCAGGCACTGAGTCCCAGCAGATGGACAGGGTCTCGGCAGAGAGAGAGTAGTCACTCGAGCGCTGATGGTGGCCGGGGATGTCAGTTTGATCAGCATGATGTCGTTATTTAAGGTGTCTTTATCAAAGCTGGGGTGCTGGATGATCTTGGCTGCCTGAATGAACTGCTCATCACCCTCAAGGACGTCAATGTTGTGTTCTCCCAGACGCACTTGTATCCGGCTGGATTCAAGGATTAAATGTTTCATGATGTCCTACTTGAGCTTCTTCCCCTTCCCCTATCCCTCACTTACAGTAGAAGCACAAACTCCATTCTTTTCCACTATTCAGTTACACAGGTAATGGTGCATGTAAGGTAACAGTGTGTACTACCAAACAAGGTGAAGCTTATGGAACGTTTTAGGCAAAAATCGCTGCACACATAGACTCACTCCCACATCTTCTTAGATTAATAAGGCATAGGAATAGGTACCAAGGAAACAGTCTGTATCAAAAAAGGGGATTGGTGACAGCTGCTATTTCTCTTCCAGTTGGGATCACTGAGCACCATAAGGAGATGATGCAAGAATCGTAGAGATAGCAGAAAATTAAAGGAGCAGGATGAATTATGCTTTTGTGTAAGGTATTATCGGAAATAGGATGCATCTTTTCTGGTTAAGCTGTGATGATTAGGGCTGTATACTGATCCATGTTCATTTGCCATTGCTAGGGGTACTTCATCCACCACTCTTTCTCCTCCACTTATTTTTTAACCAAAGTTTGGGAAGACATCAGGAACATCTATGGGTTCTGCTCCATTTACAAATCTCTCAATACATTTTACAATTCTTGAATGAATAGTTAGTCTCTTAGGATTTGAATACTTTACCTATTAAGCATAATTCCAGTATATACTGTTTGTGTTTTTGCCCAAGTGAGAGGATAAAATGGACTTAGAATTCAGGAACGTGAATGCAGGTCACTTACCGCAGACAGCACCCACTGGTCACTGATGAGGGAGCCTCCACATAAATGGTAGCCAGCGTTCAGTGACACCTGGTAGGGCACCGAATTCTTTGCACAGGTGTAGCCTCCAACGATCTTGTCATCATCATCAGTGGGGAGAGCAACTGACAGAGAGAATTGGGTAACTTCCATTAAACAAATCCATTTTGCATTCCCGACTCCACCATGAAAATTTTGCAGAAGAACCAGGAAAGAGATGAAAATGTTCTCTTGTTTCATAGAATCAGAAAATGGTAGTTTATGGCATTTTTTTGAAAAGGTATTATTCCATCACTTTAACCTGAACCCCTCTTATATCCCTATGAATAAGCATCTAATTTTTAAATTGTTTAAAATGTTCTATGTTGTGTTTTTACACGTGCACCTTATGTGTCATGCAGAGAGAATCAGGCACCCACACACCCATGAACTCAACAAAAACAGAAGCTCTTTACACAATGAGTGGCTGGCCACCACTAGCAAGGTTTTAAAGAGTCCTTTTTTACAGAATATTGCTCTGTAGCTATACAAACCCACCAGACATTTTGGAGTCCTCTGACTGATGTGTGTTTGTGGTTGACTAATGGAGTGTTGTTCTGTACAGCAGTCTCCATCAGACTTTGTATTATTCTTTCCTTGAATGAAGTGTGAGTTTTGTACTTTTATTCTCTTTATTTCTCTCCTCAATCCTAGCCTAAAATTTTCACTATGTCATGATGAGATTTTAGGATTATAGGATTTTTCTCCTCAACCTTTCCATAGATCCCAATTATCTCTCAAATGTCTGTCCATGCATTCAGCATTGTGAAGTATGGTCCCCTGATTTGACAAGATTTTCTACTGCTCCAGAATTCTGTGACTTTATTACATAACTTCTTTTATTTCCAATATTTGGACATATATTTAATAAAGAAGTGTCCAGGCATGTGTTTAAATGTATTAAATTTATAGCTGTCCAATTTTGGAATCAGCAGCATTAAGTTGTAGTAGTATCTAAATAGAAATTCACATTTGTCTATTTTCCTTCATGAGTGAATGATGTTTGATTTTATTCCAGAAAATTTTCATTAGAAAAGTTGTCACAGAAAAAAAACAAGAGGAGTGGGAGGAAAATAGCATGACTCCTTGGGTAAATAACCATCCCTTTGATATTCAGGAGTCTCAGGTTTTCATGTTCACAGCCCATCGAGAAGCACAGAGTAGTCTCAGTTATAAATTCCAAATTCTTACAGATGTCAAGACAACACTTATTTCATGTGGACTATCCTCTCCTTTACTTTCCTTCTTCATAGAATTCACCTGGAAGTTCAGGACAAGTTGGGCTTTTCTAGGTCTTCTGCTCTGAATGTCCCCTGTCACCATGACCTTCCTTGGATTAGTGAGCGCTAATCATCTCTAACCCTGTAGCTTCAACATTTTAAGCTTCTTGGGTACAGAGCCTATATCTAACATCTGTGGTTGTTTCCCTCAGCCCAGCATGCAGATTTACATACAGGATAGACACCTGCTGATTGGATCATTAGAAAGAATCACCCACAGCTCCCAGGAAAGCAAGGAAATGAAGATCTTCATGGTTGCTACTGTATCAGGACTGGGAATGAGATGAAGGCTTTCCACTGGAGGTATTTAAACCTCCAGTTTGTCCTTGTCACCCATAGCCACAGGAGCCAGAAAAGATTTCACTGGAAACTCATATATCTAAGTTTAGATTAATTCCTCAACACATGCAAAGTGACTCAGCATATAATTTTAACACCCACAATTTTCCACTTTTCCAGAAGTTTGTGGGAATAAAATTCCCAGACCCACCAGAAACTCCTCCCCATAATAGGAAGTTTAATAAGGTCACACAGCAAAGCTCCAGGTTTCTACATTCCCAGACAAAAATCTTAGATCCTTGGTTGCTCTGATTGTGAAGTTTTAAGCTAAAAAACGTCTGGAGTTCTGCACCCTTATTTTTAATTTCAAGTGTCTGTTAACAATTATATACCTAGTCTTATGCTAGTCCTCATCTTGTATATCCAAGTTAACTTTTCTACATTATCAGGAACAACTAGTTGTGCCCCAAAATGGAAAGTAGGTTTAATTTGGAAATATAATAGTAAAAAAGTAAAAGTAGAAGAATGACAATAAGTAGCATTTATCTAGAGTTTGCTGTATGTCAGGGAGAATTTGTTTCATGATATGCGATTTCAGTAACAAACAATCCCCAGAAATACTAAATGGACAACTCTAGAAATAAGTAACTGAAGTTTTAATTAATTTTATTATACTACATTATCATATTTGTTTTATGTTGTTATTAGATATTATCATTGTTGTTGTTGTTTGGGTAGTGCTGGGGATTGAACTCAGGGTCTTGCCTATGCTAAGCAAGTGCCGGTAAGCTATGTCCCCAGCCTTTGTTGTTAATCTTTTACTATGCCCATTTTATTAACTAAACTTTGTCATATGTATATATGTATAAGAAAAACATTATCCATAGGATTTTGTACTATCTGCAATATCAGGAATCCACTGAGACGTGAACACATTCTGACAGATAAGCCTGGAGTACTGTGTTCTAAGTACTTTGCCTATATTAATACAGTATTCTCAAAACAACCATAGAAGATACTTCCTATCATCCCACTTCACTGATGTGAAAACTAAGGCAACATGGTTATAGGGGACTGGCCAAAAAAGCACACAGGAAGCACCTGGAAGAATTGGGATTCCCAGACTCTGTGCTCTTTTGATATTACCCAGGTAATATCAAATTCTTGGCAGATGATCATGCAAGTGGACTGTGTGGAGCGTTTCTCACGTGACCTGCTCTGTCGAAGAGGGGTCTGTGCATCAACTTGTTTTAGAGTCCATTTCTTCAACTGCCAAACTCACATAATAATAGAGAGTGTGTATGAAAACATATTCTGGAATTGCAAAAAAAAAAATGGTTCATGGAGCAGAAAACTTAATGGAGAATGACACAAGTAGCCAATGGGTGTCAATGGGAAGGAGAAATAACCTCTAGCTGCATAAAATAGCCAGTTTCTACCCCTATACAATGTATCTGAAGTTGCCTACCAGGACATTATTTCTCCTAAGGCAAATTATCACTGTTGAAGTTGTTTATGGTTTCTTGTGTTTCCATTTGACTTTGTTGTTCTTGTTGTAGTGGTGGCCTTAAGGACACTGATGGAAATGCATAGTTCCTCCAACCTCCACATTATTAATATTTGGGTACAGATACTATCCAAATACAACTGTATAGCCTACTTAAAAATAAGTTGTAACGACTGACTGTAGTTTAATAGGCAAATTGCATATGTACATATTTGTATATGCATATACATAATCCTTGGACAGTTGTGATAATGTTAAAAGACATGTATGATCAATGGATTTGTTTTGTTGAATGAATTCGTGGCTCAGGGTAAAAGAAGAGAGTAATTAATGGAGGAGAAAATGAATTGTGGTCTGGTGAAAAGAAAAATAGAGAAATGACAGGAATCATTTAAAATATTGCTTCTGGGTAATGTTTCAGAAATCTCAAGGCCAATGTGGGAGAGAAACTGGAGGGAGCAGTCTGAGTACGTTAGAACCAAGGAGCATCTCTAAGACTGAGGATATTTGCCTGTGCCTGTTCAACAGATTGGCATTCTAAATTGAATTTTGAAAGCAAGACTAAAATAATACTAAGACAGTCGATATTTTTATTTTTGAATGATCTTTAAATTACTAGTTACTCTCTGTGAGTTGCTCAGTTTGGCTTTTCCATAAAATAATGAAGTCAATATGATTGGAAGGCAAAATGAAACTTGTTTTGGTCTTATTTTAAGACAATTTCCTTCAAAAAGGGAAATTGGGCATGTGTTGAACTTCATTGCTTTTTCATGGCACAACGGAAACTTGATTATGAAATTTCCCCTGCAAAGTGAATTATTTCCCAGATGATATACTGATAAGAATAAATAAATGTATTTACATAAGTATCTAAGCTTCTAAGTAGAGATAGTACTTCACTGAAATTTATATAAAATTTCATAACCATGAGGTTGACATTTGAGAATTATTTTCTCCAAGCTTTCAGTAGCAAAAGATAAATACATTCATGTATTCAAATTATTAGTTATAGCAAGTGAAAAACCCAGCCTTCAGTCAGTTACCCATCATCTCAGATTTTTGCCCGTTCACATTCCCTCCTACTTGTACAAAAATGCCACCCCTTACTGGACCATGAATTAGATATTTATTACACTCCATATGTTTCAGTAATCTCCTCTGACTTTTCCGAGTGGCTCTTTATGCTGAACTCCAGTGTGTTTGGGTGGGTCTTTCATACTTTTCTTGGATTTTACTTTAAGCAGAAGGTCTATCTTCACTTTAGTCAGGTCTCCATTCCTTACAGCATTTGCCCCCTGATCAGCATCATATTCTACTTATTTGCAATCTATTTACCAATCAGAACCCATATGTGAGGAAGTCAGGGTTTATAGGTGTTTGTTTCATCATTTTATCCTTACTGCATAAACCAGAACCAGGAATATCACAGACCCTCAGTGTTTGACAAGTAACTGATTGGCTAAATGAATAGAAAAATTAAATTTCCTCCATTGAAGGAAATGCCATGTTTATTTAGTCAATCCTCTGTTAATGTTTATTTGTGTTCTTTCCCTTTTATACCACAGGTAGAGAATTCATCAATAGACATATGTCAGTAGTGGAGACTGTTCATGCTTCTTGGTCTTCTCCTTTTTCTCTTTGTAACTCTCCTAGCTCGATTTAGCTAATCAAACTTACACCAAACAGATCCTCTGAACCCAAGTTTCTGCACACTTGGATTCCAAGAACCATAGATCAAAGATATTTTAAAAATAGGGCACATGTGCACTATTGTTCACTAACTTAATTGTCATTATTTCCTAAGAAATACAGTAAAACAACTTTTTGCAAAGCAATTCTCTTGTATTAGGTACAATAATTAATAGAGAGGTGATCTAAAGATAAGGGGGATATGCACAGGTTATATGTAAGTCACACCCCATTTCACATAGAGGACTTCAATAGCTCCAGATTTTGATATCTCTGGAGAATCCTATTATCAACTCTTCCTGGTTACCATGAGACCACAGTGCCACCAAGTCATGCTTTCTGCAGAATGAACAACCCACCCCTTGTTCCAATGCTTGGCTATATAACTTAATTATAAAGATATTGGTACAATTTCACTTGATTACTGGTTCAAGGGTATGTAGTAACTGCTTTCAGATAATGAGATACTTACACAATGTCTCAGCATGCTTCTGGTGGCAAAGATGCTCTGTAATAAGCTTTGGGGAAACAACTTCATCCCTTTCCCTAGATATAGGTGGAAGGGAGAGTGTAGTTCTGAGAGACATTTTGTGACCTCAAAACTTGGTCCTTAGGATAAAGCTCACAATAATGAAAGCAGAGGGCAGAGGCAGAGATAAGGTATGAGATTTTTTTAAGTTGCTGAATCCAACCATCCTTGAGGCCCTCCTACTCCTTGTGCATTTTGATTTTTTTTTTAGGTATACAAAGAACTCAAAAAATTAAACAATAAGAAAACAAACAACCCGATCAACAAATGGGCCAAGGACCTGAACAGACACTTCTCAGAGGAGGACATACAATCAATCAACAAGTACACGAAAAAATGCTCACCATCTGTAGCAGTCAGAGAAATGCAAATTAAAACCACCCTAAGATACCTTCTCACTCCAGTAAGAATGGCAGCCATTATGAAGTCAAACAATAACAAGTGCAGGCGAGGATGTGGGGAAAAGGGTACACTTGTACATTGCTGGCATTAGAGCAGATTATGCTAAGTGAAGCTAGCCAATCCCTTAAAAACAAATGCCAAATGTCTTCTTTGATATAAGGAGGGCAACTAAGAACAGAGCAGGGAGGAAGAGCATGAGAAGAAGATCACCATTAAACAGGGACAAGAGGTGGGAGGGAAAGGGAGAGAGAAGGGAAATTGCATGGAAATGGAAGGAGACCCTCATTGTTATACAAAATTACATATAAGAGGATGTGAGGGGAAAGGGGAAAAAACAAGGAGAGAAATGAATTACAGTAGATGGGGTAGAGAGAGAAGATGGGAGGGGGGAGGGGGGATAGTAGAGGATAGGAAAGGCAGCAGAATACAACAGTCACTAGTATGGTAGTACTAGAAACGTGGATGTGTAACCGATGTGATTCTGCAATCTGTATACGGGGTAAAAATGGGAGTTCATAACCCACTTGAATCAAATGTATGAAATATGATATGTCAAGAGCTTTGTAATGTTTTGAACAACTAATAATTAAAAAGGGTTGACACAATGCTATAAGTCTATGACTAAGTAACAAGGTGGTGTTTTACTGAAGCATAGTCTGGTCTCTGTATGATTTGAAAGGTGAGGAACGGCGGCCACTCTATGACCTTCTGAATTATTATACAATTATTATATTATAAGTATTGGAGTTGGTTTGTCAGAGGTCAGATAAATAAAGATTTTATATGTGCAGGCACTAATACAGTTACATGATAAGGAGTCTAAATAGCCAGGAAGTAAGTTGATGCTGCAAAAAGAAGCACCCCCTCCAGTGTGCAAAGATAGCAGAGCATTGGGAGAAAAAGTGGTTGAAGGAGATTCAGCACTTTCAACCCAGTGCTGCGGCTGTGCTGCCTGTTGTCCTACCTCCAGCTCTTACCTCAGTCCCAGGTGGCTGCAGATCTTTGCACCAAGAGCAAAGGGTCACTGAGGGTTGGGGATGCTGCCCAGGCTAAAGAAAAAAAAAATCATGAAAAGCTCTCTGGGCCCTAAAAATATTTTGGCAAGTGGAGGAGGGGGAACCCCTTCCAGCCTGCCTCTGGCTCCAGCAGACTCTCCTCTGCCCTCTAGAACATGGAGGCAGCTGTCAATGAGAGGTAAGGATCTGGGGATAGGAATGGTCTCCCTTTTTAAAACCCAATAGGATACTTCATTGGGGCAGGAAAACATCTGTTGCTAAGGCCAGACAAGTCCCACTAGAGCAATACCTCACAGACATAAATGCACAGGAAGACCAACAATCACATGAGAGAAACAACCACACCTGGCAGTGGTTGGAAGACCGATGCCTGAAACACAAAAACCACAGTGTCTTCAGTCAGACTTTGAGGCTCTGGGGCAAAAGTCGGAGTCAAAAGCAGTAGGGACCGCTTCTGATGGAGCAACAGAGGAGGCTTCCATTCAAACAAAGAGGCGTCACCTCTGTGGGAGCCCAGCTGTGGCTTCCACATCCAGGATCCAGAGACCCCCTGGCCCCTGACTATAGCCTGAGGCCACAGCAAGGGAGAAACAAAACTACATATAATCTAGAGAGCTCAATTTACAGGAAAAATGGAATAAAATAAAGCATACCTTTAAAATAAAGATGATAAAATTCTGTCTACAAACCCACCTTCAATGGCATAAGATGTGATCAACTGCTCTGTACATACAGGTAACCCCAGAAATAGGCTGAAATTGAGTCCTTACAGCATTGTATATGGGAGACCCTACCTGGTATCTTGGGGAAGAGGATGAATGTGACTAGAGCAGGAAAAAACTAGATTAAAACTGTAAGACAGTTAAATATGGACTGCTGTGCATGAGTGTGCTTCTTCCAGGTCCCCACTAAGTTTCAAATCCCCTTTCCGTTCTTTCCAGAAAAGTCTGGGGGTGGGGGGCAGGGAGACAGCAACAGGTAAAAACCTCCCATTCCAGGAACCTCCTTAATCATCCATTCCCAGAAAGAAGCAGCTTTGAGATGGCATTGCCCATTTTTTCCATAAAAATGGAGGGTACAAATTAATAGAGGGGAAAATGTAACTGGGGACTACTTCACATAAAGGGGTCCACTTCATGATTTGATTGTAAACCTTGATGCTCAACCACTGGCAGCTTACTTTCAAGCTGCCATTTTTATTTTATTTTTTTTTTCATTTTTTAATTTTGTTATCTTCTCCCCCACTTAGCTGCTAGGAAAACGAGATGAACATTCTTCATTTCCTAAGTGGAGTTTTCTGTCCTCCACTTACTACCCACCTGAACAAGAAACTCCAGACCTGGAAATGGGAAACAGCTCTCTTCAGGATAGAGTTCATGAATTCCAACTATTAATAATATCTGGAAAACAGTCCTTGCATTCCCCTGTTTAAACCTCTCTGTTCCCCATGGCAACTAAAGCTGCAGTCTGGGTGGCAGGAGTCCCCCGCCTTACTCCTTTACTGGAAAAGCAATACAACTTTCCTGTTTCTCAAAGCCCTGACCTCATTATTTGATTGATATCAGGGACAGGGACTGAATTTTCGGTATCTCCTTTACCTGGGGCAGTAAGGTGAGTAAATGTGGATTAGTAGAGGTGATAGCAGGGTAGCAGGGAACCTTAAAATCTTGGGATGTTTAGTTAAAGTAGATCGGAAGCCACTTATTTCGACAGAGAGAAGCTTTGTGATAATACGACATGAAGATAAGTCAGTGAAAACTAAGGAAATAAAACAGAAAAGAATACCATGACTGCTTAAAAGCCTGCAAAGCCTATCTGATAGCCAGGCCCACCACAAAATGGGGATCAGAGAAATGCAAATCAAAACTACTCTAAGATCATATCACTCAAGTCAGAATGGCAGCTATTATGAAGACAAACAACAATGAGTATTGGACTGGTGGGACTGCAAGTTGGTACAGCCAATAGGAAAACAGTATGGAGATTCCTTGGAAATCTGGGAATGGAATCACCATTTGACCCAGCTATTCCTCTCCTTGGAAGATACCCAAAGGACTTAAAAACAGCATACTACAGGGACACAGCCACATCAATGTTTATAACAGCACAGTTCACAATAGCTAAACTATGGAGCCAACCTAGATGCCTTTCAGTGGATTAAAAAAAAAGTGGCATATATACACAGTGGAATTTTACTCAGCAATAAAAGAGAAAAAAATCATGGCATTTTCAGGTAAATGGATGGCATTGGCGAAGATAATGCTAAGTGAAGTTAGCCAATCCCAAAAAACAAATGCCGAACGTTTTCTCTGATATAAGGAGGCTGATTCATAGTGGGGTATGGAGGGGAGCATGAGGGGATTAGATGAATTCTAGGTAGGGAAGAGGGGAGGGAGGGAAAGGGAGGAGGTAGGGGATTAGCAAAGATGGTGGAATGTGATGGACATCATTATTCAAAGTACATGTATGAAGACTTGAATTGGGTGTCAACCTACTTTATATACAAAGAGAGATATGAAAAATTGTGGTATATATGTGTAATAAGAACTGTAATGCAAAAAAAGTACATGTATAAAGACATGAATTGGTGTGAACATACTTTATATACAAATATATGACAAAATTGTGCTCTATATGTGTAATAAGAATTGGAATGCATTCCAAAGTTGTATATTAAAAAATAAAATCAAATAAATAAATAAAGCCTTGAAAACAAGGCTGATGATATTTCCCTTCAACCTAGAGACAGCTGTGTGGCCATATTAAGAATTCAGGACAAACCAGGAAGCCAGTCTTCCAGGGGCATCAGGCCTGCTGGTGACTTGGTGTTACTTAACAGACTCTGAAACTGTGAGAAACTGTGAAAGGTGCTCTGTAAGGCACCCGACTTTGGTATTGTTGCAGCAGCCTGAGCTGAGACACTGTGTTCTCTTCACCTGCCTCTGAGGCTGCATTTCTCCCATTTAGTCCTGATCCATGTACTCCAATGTGTCTGTGCTCAGAGCCCAGTCAGTCTTTCTAATTGTTCCATAACAGATCTGCATGGGAATCCTGTGTAGGGACTCCCACTGCAAACCGTCTTTGGATGATTTATGGAAGATCAAGATTGGAGAGGATAGCTAGAGAGGAACTAAGGCAGAGGGTATGGGGTGTACTCGGAGTACGGAAGGGGACAGATCACACCTCTAAGAACAGAACCTCTGGGACCTCATTGTAATATCTCTATTTTATGAACACCTATCCACATTTGTACATTCTTTGGCCTCTAGTTCTAATTAATACCTAAATCAGGCTGGGAATTGGGGGTCTGGGGGTAGGAGGGGGACTCCGATTGTCCCCATAGGCTATGCCTCCTATAGCAATCATCTTCCAGTTGGAAAACAAGTGGATCTTAGAGAATTGGAACTTATATGTGGGTGAATCCTGAAAAAGATGCAAGAAAACTGAGAAGTTAAAAAAATAAAATCTGGGCTGGGGTATTAGTTCAGTGGTAGAGCACTTGCCTAGCATATGTGAGGTACTGGGTTTGATCCTTAGCACCACATAAAAATAAATGAATAAAATAAAGGTATTGTGTCCACTGACAACTAAAAAAAAAATGTTTAAAAAACTCTGCCATGTGCGGTGGTACAGGCCTGTAATTCTAAGTACTCAGGAGGCTGTGGTAGGGAGATCACAAGTTCCAGGTCAGGCTGTGCAATTTAGCAAGGCCCTGTCTCAAAATAAAAGATAAAAAGGGCTTGGAATGTAGCTCAGTAGGAGAGCATCCTGGGTTCAATCTCCAGTGCCCAAACAAAAAAAATACTACACCTAGAAGACTACTTTTTCTAGATTCACCCCCCATGTGTCAGAAGGATTGAAGGATAAAAGGAAGACCCAGCCTCTGCCACACAGCAGCAATGCACTGGGTTAAGGCGTGAGCTCCACTGCGGCTTTACTGTGACCTGTTCCAGTGTCTTTGGGCAATTGATTTTAAAACCCTGTGGTTTAGTATTATTGTTTGTTAAGTTATGAACATATTATCTATCATAAATAATCCATACCCTAATGTGTATCATTGCAAAATCATAGTAAACATGTAGCTGATATACTAATAAAGTTGTTTATAATTATTTGCAATAAATGTGATGGTAATAATGAATTTATTTATCTTTATAGGATTGATGTCAGAGTATACTGTACAGTAGGTTATCAGTAAATATATATTTGTATGTTATATTGGTTTTTATTGAATGAGTAAACAACCTTCAAATTCTCGCCATACAATAGTTCAGCTCTTTGCCCATCTTCCTACCTAGTAAAAAGTTTTAAAAGAAAGCTAATCAATTTCAAGCAAAGAAAATTCTTGGAAAGATGAAATGTGGAACACAGTGTTTTTGTTCAGATAAGGATTTTTGGTGCTGAAGGAAGGTGAAGTAGATAGCAGGAGTGCATTATGAAGAGATAAAGGTGTTTAGTTGGCAGCAATTGTCTGCTGAATCCAATTCACGTATTTGCAGACCTTGGTGTACACACCGGGTTTGCCCTTCAGAGCACAGCCATATCCCCAGGACACAACACCCTGGAGTTCACCATTGCAGACCACAGGGCCACCAGAATCACCCTGGAGTAGAAGGAGAAGCAGAATTCTGGTTATATACACATGGGAGAATGGGCTCCTGGATAATCCTCCATAATATAGGGGCTATTTTCAGGGGCTGCTGATCTCCCAAGAAGCACCTTCTCTCCCCCTGAAGATTCCACCCTCATTCTTCTATCTCTATCCCTATTGTTCTTCCTCCTTCTTTATTGCCTGCTCCTTTCTTTGTGGATCCATTGCACCAAGAACATGTGGGGACTGGAAGTATAAACATGTTTGATGCACAGAGTGTTCCCGTTTCCAGCATCACAGAGTTTCAGATAGATTGAATCAAGCCAGAAGAAGCCAGCAGCCTGCTCCTCTCGAAGGGTCCACGGCAGATACACCTCCTCAGAAGAATGCCGGAAAAGCACCGAACACCTACTTTTGTGTATCTTTTTACCCTGAACACCAACCTTCATTATCACAAACAGAAAATGTATAACTTATCTCAAAGCTTTCTTCATATATCATGATGGATTTTGAGTGGACAATTTTACAATCCTCTGAGTTTCAGAGAAGGAGAAACATGGTGGAGAAGAGAGACTGATCTGGATGAAGCAGGAGTAGGAGACACTCACCTGGCAAGAGTCCTTTCCCCCCTCCAGGAAGCCCAGGCAGAACATATTGCTAGTGATCTTGCTTGGGTAGGCGTTGCGGCAAGAAGTGTCAGAGAGCACAGGGGCATCCAGACACTGCAGGAGGGAAGGATACTTGGCTGTGGAATGCAAGAGTGAAAATGGAAGAAGATTACACACTGTAAATTTCTTTGCCACTGTCTCTTCTCATACTTTTTTTTTTCAATATTCCAAAGACTCGTAATTTGAGAGACTTTTTCTCTGGCATCAGAGGCCACAGACCTCAAGTGCAGAGCCTGCTTGCTCAAGCAGGTATATACTTCAGGCAGCACAGAACCTATGGCCTCTGTTCCCATTATCTCCTCTATCTCTGGCTCCCTGAACATCACTAATCACACTTCAGATAAATGTCTTGACATTTTATAGTTGTTTTTATCTTGTCCATGTTCTCAGAAAAAGGAATCTTCCTTATTTTACCTAATACATTGTAAGGCTGCATGCATCCTATCCTCTTTAGCTTTGCCTTGAGTCAAAATCCATACTATCTACCCTCAACATGTCTTTAACTCTACTGTCCTCAACCCTGGTGCTTGTGTTCCAACACTTACTTCCACTGCTCAAAGTGTTGCCCCAGCCAGACACGAGGCACTGAGTCCCAGCAGATGGACAGGATCTCGGCAGGGAGACAGCAGACACTCGAGAGTTGATGGTGGCAGGGGAGCTCAGTTTGATCAGCATGATGTCGTTATCGTAGGTGTTCTTATTATAGCTGGGGTGCTGGATGATCTTGGCTGCCTGAATGAACTGCTCGTCCCCCTCGACGACGTCAATGTTGTGTTCTCCCAGACGCACCTGTATCCGGCTGGATTCAAGGATTCAAAGTGTCCAGCTTGAGCTTCTTCCTCTTATTTCAACCCCCAAATGATGACCAGGAACACAAACAGCATTCTCATCAAGCATTTGACCCCATGGGTAATTGTGTACCAAAGGCAGCATTATATACCACCACACACGGTGCAGGCTAGAGAGGTCCCTAGGCCAGTGTCATCCCAACTAGCGCCTCACAGTCCCCCATCACTTTAGAACCGTGAGGGACAGGCATGGGACGAATGGGTCCAAAGACAGATGGTACTGAAAAGGGAATCCTCCTCTGTTTAGTATTATCAAATATCATAGGAAGATGAGGCAGGAATCACGATAAGGCAGGATATAATGACAGCAGGATGTGCTTATTTTATGCTGAAATGTGGTGCTTTCATCACCCCCAGGTGCCATAGCTTCCTTGAGCTGTGATGGTGAGGACCATGTGCTCATTCATCATGCTTCACCAGCCACTGTGTCCCCTCCACATCTTTACCATCATTTAGAAACACACCAGGAAGCCCTAAGATACCCCTCCATGTAAAAGTCCTTTAACACATTGTATAATTCTGAGTGAATAATCAGGCTCTCTGGGTCTGAATGCTTTGTCCATCAGGTATAACTAGTCAATCTGTTTGTGCTTCCCTGGGCTAGAGGATAAACTGATATTAGGAATGTAATACAGGTCACTTACGACTTGTAGCAGTGAGCCGCAGAGACCACCCACTGGGAACTGATGAGGGAGCCACCACAGTTGTGGTAGCCAACATTCAGCGACACCTGGTAGGGCAGGGAGTTCTTCCGACAGGTGTAGCCCCCAACAATCTTGTCATCGTCATCATTAGTAGGAAAAGCAACTGACAAGGAAAAGTTAAACTCTGTTAAAAATATCCATCTTGTAATTTCTACTCCACCATAAAGATTTTGCAAACCAACCAGAAAAGAGATAACAATGTTCTCCTATCTGTCATGATTAGGAAAGTGTATTATATGGGATTTTTTTAAAATTTATTTTTCATATTCTAACATACCCTTCTTACATCACTATTAAAAAACATCTAGTAGCTGAGCGTGGTGGTGCATACCTGTAACCTCAGCGACTCAGGAGGCTGAGGCTTGAGGATTGTGAATTCAAAGCCAGACTCAGCAAAAGTGGGGTGCAAAGCAACTCAGTGAGACCCTGTCTCTAAGTAAAAATGCAAAATAAGGCTGAAGATGTGGCTCAGTGGTCGAGTGGCTCTGAGTTTAATGCCTCCCCAATTGCTAGGTTTCTATTTGTGATTTACTTGTGATAAATATGTTCTTACATGTGTGCCTTACACACACACACACACACACACACACAGTCCAAACACTCACAAAGGTAAGAGGTTTTTAACACAATAAATGTCTGACCACTACTATTGAGGATATGAGAACTGTTTTTACACAGAACCCTGCTTTGTACTCATGCAAATAAGAAGAAAACATTGCTATAATCTTGCTGGTGTGCATTCGTGGTGTTTAATGGGGTGTTTGTGATGCATAGCTTTCTCTGTAAAGAAGCAGAAAGGAGGCTTTTAGGAGCCATCCTGAGATGAACCTGGCCTGGAAGGAAATGTCCACTTGTTTGTATCTTTATTCACTTGTTTTCTGTCTTTAGTCATCCATAAATCACTTTCCACAACTTCTCCACTATCCCATTTATCTTTACAATGTCTATCAATGTATTCAGCACAGACATGGCCCACTGATCTGTCAAGATTTCTCACAGCTTCAAAATTCTGTTGTTCTATCACAGGAGCCCTGTTTTCTCAGTATTTGAAAATAAGTTTATGATAGAATGTTCCAGGCATATATGCAGGTATATTGGATTTATACCTGTTCTATGTGGGTAGAGTAATTGAGTTTAATTAATATCAAAATAGTATCACTACTATCAAAATAGAAGTAGTCATCTCTATTTTCTCTCAATTTAATAACATTTGACTTTATACCAGAGATGACATTAGGAAAGCTATCATAAAATCAAATCAAAGGTTTTATTCTGAAATAATATACCTTTGCTGTTAGATGTTGGATATAAGTAGCTCTTTAGTAAACAGGTGACCCAACCTCTGATGTTCACAGCCTTTTCAAGAAGCACGGATTAGTTTCAGATGTTAACTCCAAATTCTTAGAGGTCAAGACAAGCACTCCTTTCATGTAGACTCTCCTTTCCCTTTCTCTCCTTCTTCACAGAATTTGCCTGGAAGTTCAGGACAAGTTTGGCCTGCCTATGCCTTCTGCTCTGAACCCCTCATAACCTCAATGACCCTCCTCAGACAAGTATCTCATTATCCTAAACCCATGTGCCTGACCCTCCTGTTTTGACATTTCACCCTTCCAGAGTACAGAGCCTGCATCTAGCATTCATGGTTGCTTTCCTGAGCACAAGGCAATCACACAGAGAGGATCGACACCTGCTGACTGTTCCTTAAGAAGACTCACCAGCAGCTCCCAGGAGAGCAAGGAGAATGAAGGTCTTCATGGCTGCTCACTGAGTCTGGACCGGGAATGGAATGGAGGCTTTCCACCCACAGGTATTTATACCTACAGTTTGTCATTGACACCCATGGCCACAGGAGCCAGGAAAATGATTTCACTGGAAACTCACATATCTAAATTTAGGTTCACTTCTGTGGCACATGAAAGGTGATTTAGCACCAAACTTAAACATCAAAAATTTTCCATTTTTCCCGAAGGTTATGGGAATGGAGGTCACAAACTCACCTGCTGGAGCCTGTTCCCCATAACAGGTAAACATGTTAGAATAAGGTCACAGGGGAGAGCTCCAGGTTTCTGCATTCCCACAGAAAAATCTTAGGTCCTTGGTTGTCTCAAGTGTGAACGTTTGTACTAAGGAATATCTGGAACCCTGCACCCAAGATGTTTAATTAACATTGGCTCTTGCACACTTAGATGTCTTTTTTTTTTTTTTCCTGCTGAAGATTGAATGCAGGTACTTGGGAATATTAGGCAAACATTTAACATGGGGCTATGTCCCCAGTCCTTACTTAGTCTTATATTAGTCCTGATCTTGTATATTCATGGTTATTATTCATTTTGAGGATTGAATGTTTGCGTGGACTCTCTATCGTCCAGTGAGGAGGTCCACGGAACAGGGTAGAGGAGAGTGTGGCTGTGGAGTCACTAATCAAGACCTCCAGGGACCAAGCTGGAAGCAGGTCTGATTTTATTGTGTAGTTACCATGTATGTATACTCAGGCAGTAGCTAAGCAGATTATAGGCAGCCACCAATACAATTTCTGGCCAACTGTCCTTGTAGCGACCAATCGAGTGGGCTCATGTTCAGGGTGCTGTGTCTATGGGGTAAGCGGCCTGTTGCTCACACACCTAACACAAGTGGAGTGGTTTGCCACTCAGGCGCCCTTAACGTATGCCATGTATGCAGTACTCCATGCACCTGGCCCCACAAATGTTATCCTGAGAATAGGAAAATTTTGATAGATTAAAAACGGTAGAAAAAAGGAAAAAATCTGAAACTTGCTGTATGTCCAAGATACAACACTACCCCCAGATGTGAAGATTTGTTTCAATCAGGGACCAAAAAACATTAAAAGGAAAATTCTAGAAATAAGAGTTCATAAATTTTTTAAAATTTATTATATTATATTGCTGTATCTGTTTTATTTTATTAATAGATATTAGTGTTAAACGTATACTATGCCTCATTCATAAATTAAGCTCTATCTTAGATATAGGTATAGAAAAAATTATACATAGGATTTGGTACTAAATTAAGCTTTATCTTAGATATTTAGGTATAGAAAAAATATTATATATATAATTTGGTACTATCTGCAGGTTTAGGCATCCCCTAAAGAGTCGAAATGTTTCCCTCATATATAAGGGGGAACTTTCTACAGGTATCTATTGTCAACCCCACTTATTCCCTCTGGTGGGAAAGGTAACAAAGGTATGGAGACTTAACCAACACCTCCCAGCAAGCACCTAACAGGATCAGCATTCCAACCCTGCAATGTGCTTTCAGACGCTCTCTTACCAAGGTAATGGGGAGCTCTTGGTAGACGAGGATGAATGTGAAGTGCATGGAGAGTTTCCGATGTCTCAGGCATTGGGGACAAAGTGTCCATGCATTGACTCTTTCAGTCCTCATGATATCAAAAGCTCTGTCCTTGTCCCCCAGGACAGGGCATTGAGAAAAAAGAAAAAGAACTTTTATTGCTTTGCTGGCCAAAGAGAAAGCCAATAGGCTCATGGCACTGAGGCTGTATTCTAAGTGCCAGGGGGATGGAGGGCTTTAACAAGGGGAACGCAGGGCTGGCTTCCCAATTGTACCTGTAGATGGGATTAATATTCAACTTTTCCCATTCCAGGTCTGGAGTTTCTTTGTTCAGGTGGGCAAAAAAAAAAAATGAAGGACAGATGACTCCACTTAACACAGGACAAACGTTCATCTCTTTTCCCCTGAAGTGAAGGAGAAAAGGAAAGAAAAAAATCAGTTTTAAAATAAGCTGCCAGTGGTTGAGCAACAAGGTTTAGATTCAAACATAAAGTGGACCCCTGTTACATGAAAGGGACCCCTGTTACACTCACAGATAACACTATAAAGAGGTAACCATCTGAGGTTGGGGGTAACTGTTGTGCTATTATTTTCACCATTTAGGAGACTGTGGGGATAGGCTTAGAGAAATCAAATGTTTTTGCAGAGTCTGATAGTTATTATGTCAATCCAGGCTTCAATGCCAGGAAACTCATTTCAGTATTCATGTTCTCAACTATGATGCCATAGACCTTATTAATAAGGGCTACAATCTGAGCTCTACCAAATTGAGGGCTAAAGCAAATTCTGGAAAATCCACGGATAGGTTCTTGGAGCTGGAATTATAAGAAACTTAATGACATGGCACAAGTATCTAGAGTGAGTGAATTTCAAGAACGAACTTCTCACTAGACACAACTGTCAGATTCCACATCTCTACAATAAATCTGAAATCTCCATCCAAGATATTATTTCTACTCAAGCAAATTATCACTCTGGATGCTGTTTTTTTTTTTTTTGTTTATTGTTTGGGTGAGATTTATTTTCATTCGAAATTGTGTAGCTTTGAAGACAACTTAGTCAAAGAAGGAGATTCTCAATTGGAACATTCTTGAAATTTGGGGTCAGACCCTATACATATTCAATCTATAGCAACCTTCATATAAACCTTTGATAACTAATTAAGATTTCATCTGTGAATTTTATTATAAATGTATATGTATATGTAAAATCACCATGGATGATTGGTATAATATTAGAGGTCATATAATAGCAGCAGGTTATTTTTTGTGAAGGAATTTGTGCCTCAATGTGAAAAGACTAAAGCACAGTTGCCTTGTTCTATAAAAGTTTGAACTTGTGAAAAAAAAATGGAGAAACAAAGGAATCTTTGAAACTCTAAATCCCTACTGGGATCTGGAAATACCATAGTCTATGTAGGATTGAAAAAGATGGTGTGTGACTGGGATATTTGGAACAAACGAGTATCTCTAATACTGAAGGCTTTGGAATTTGTATCCTTTTAAGAGTTTGACTTTCTAAATTGAGTTTTAAAAGTAAGACTAAAATAATACTAACACAATAAATATTTTTATTTTAAAATCCATTTAAAATACTAGTTACTTTGTGTGCACATCTGAAATTCCAGTGACTTGGGAGACTGATGCAGGAGGATTGAAAATTTAAGGTCTGCCTGAGCTACTTAGGGATACCCTGTCTCAAAATAAAAATTAAAAATGGCTGGAGATGTAGCTCAGTGATGGAACAACTTGGGTTCAATTCCCAGTATTGCAATAAAAATTTAAATAAAAAAAGAAAGAAATTTAAAAATGGGTTGGAAATGTAGAGCAGTGTTAGAAAACTTCTGGGTTCTATTCAAAGTACTGCAAAGAAAAAAAGTACTAGTGATTTGCCATAAAATATGCTCATATTTTCCATTTAAATAATGAGTTATGTAAGATTTCCAGGGGAAGAAAGGCTTGAGCTTGTCTTATTAAAGCAAATTTTCTTAGATAAACTGTTCTTGAGCACATATTGAGGTTACTGCTTGATTATGGGAGAACTAACAACTAGATTATGGAGTGTACCCAGTTGAAATAAAGTAAGTTTTTCCCAGCTGATATACTCTAAAAGAAAAAAATAAATGTATTTTCATAGGTAGCTAAGCTTCTAAGTAGAGATAGCACTTCATTTTAAAAAGTTATAAATGTTATAACCATGAGTTTAACAGTTACGGTTTATCTTCCTCAAGTTTCCATTATCTGTACTATAATTAGACATAGCAAGTATAAAGCTTGACCCTATGCAGTTACCCCCTACCTCAGATGGCTACCTCTTTACATGTCCTTATATCTGCCATAGAGATGCCATGCTTCCCTGGATCTCATTCAATCATGCATTAGAAATATATTTATAGCTACATGTATGAGTGATCTCCTCTGACTCAGTAGAGTGACTATTTTAAACAGAAGTACATTTTGATAGGGCCTTGATAAATCTTTTTTGGTTTTACATTAGAAGGAGGTCCATGCTTTCCAAGCACCCGACCCTTTATCTAGTTTCTTTTTCTTTACAACTAACACATAGATCAGCATTATATTCTATTTGTTCTTTGTCTATTTACCAATCAGAATATATTTGATTGGGCAGGGTTTGCAATATTTGTTTCACTACTACATCCTTGGTGCATAAAACAGACCCAGGAATACCACAGACCTTCAATAAAGTACTTGACAAGTACTACTTATTGGATAAATTAGGAGAATTCTTACATTTTCTCCACTGAAGGTAATATCATATATATTTAGTCAATCCTGTATCAATGACTGTTTGGGTTGTTTCTGGGCTAGATATGTAAAGCATTCATGAACACAGATGACTACTCTAATAGAAATTGTTTTTGCATCTTGACATCTGCTCCTTCTCTTGGCAACAGTTCTATCATCATTTAGTTAACTAAATTTAAAAAGCTGGTGCCTCAAGTCTGTGGGGGGACCTCATATTCAAGAAGCCACATATCAGATATATTTTTAAAATATGGCATCTGTACTGAATAGGTACAGATTTATCTTTCTTATCATTATTCCTTATGCAATAAGGCATGAGAATTCAATCATGCATTAGAAATATATTTATAGCTACACGTATGGGCCATTATTAAGTTTAAATGAAAAACAACTGTTCACATAGTGTTTCCATTACTTATTAGGTATGGAATTAGGGACCATAATTACTGTAGGTAGAATTTAAAGTTTATAGAATAACATTCACAGGTTATATGCAAATACCTCCCCAGTTTATGCAAAGGACTTGAGTATTTGCAGATTTTAGTGTCCATGGGAGTCCTTGAAGTAACTCCTCATGGCTACCAAGGGAAGAGAGAATGTCATCCTTTTTGCACAATGAGAACTCTACCCCTTACTCTGGGGCTCTGTCATATAGCTTAATTATAAATTAATCAGCATAATTTGATTTGATTACTGGTCCAGCAGTGTGTAGTGACTGCTTTCAGTTAAGGAGACACTATGAAGTGTCCTCTGTAGACTTCCAGGAAGGAG